GTCTTGGGAAGTGTTGCCCATTCATCTGACAGATGCCTCTGCCTGCTGACAACCGCAGTTCCCTGACAGCTGGAGAGTGGTCTCAGCCCTGTGTCATTTTTCACCACACTGCTCTCTGAGCCATACAGGAAAAGTCTACTGCACTTTTATCACCATAGTTACCATGACCACAGTTGAAGCTGGTTTCCTATTGTGGCTGTAACACATTGTCTCAAAATTTGTGGATTGTAATAAAACAAACGTATTATCTTATAGTTCCAGAGGTCAGAAGTCTAAAATAAGTGTCACTGGGACAGTGCTGAAGAGATTGGCCAAACATAGAAATGATGAAAGAACTTTTCTCAAATGAATCGTTCTTCTCCTTAAAAGGTTACCTGGAGAGAGCGGGAGACTGAAATGGAGACTCATGTTTCCATCCCCAGGGCCTCTTTGCCTATGGATGTCCAATTTTCCCAGAACATTTGTTGAAAAGTTTATCATTTCTCCATGGAGTTGCCTTGGCACCTTTGTCAAGAACAGATTGAGCCGAGTGTGGTGGTGCACACCTGGAATCCTAGCATCTCAGGAGGCTGAGACAGGAAGGCAAGTTTGGGGCCAGCCTGGGCAACTTAGTGAGATCCCATCTCAAAATTAAAAGTAAAATGGCTCGGGATGCAGCTCAGTGGTAGTGTATCCCTAGGCTCAATCTGTAGTACTGCAAAACAAACAAACAAAAACCCAATTGACCACATATGTGTGGGTTTATCTCTGGCCTCTGTTTCATTGATTTATTTGTCTGTTTTGATGCCAATAGTACACTGTTTTGACTAATAAGTTTTGAAATCATGAATTGCAAGTCCTCCAACTTCATTTTTCTCTTTTAAAGTGATTTTGGCTATTCTAGATCTTTTGCATTTCCATATGAATTTCAGAATCAAATTGTCMGTTTCTACCAAAACATCCAGCTGAGTTTTTTTGTTGTTGAGTCTAGAGATCACAACAACATCAATGAACATGGTATATCTCTTTTATGAATGTCTTCTTTAATTTCTCTTAGCAGTGTTTTAGAGTTTTTGTTAACCTGACTTTAGCTGTCAGACCCTGGCCTACTCAGGTTTTATATATCATTTATTAGATTTATCCCTAAGTAGTTTATTATTTTTGATGCTAATGTAACACTATTTTAAATTTCAAATTGTTCATTACTGACATATAGATATATAATTTTATGTATTGAACTCACATCCTATGACCAGGCTACCCTCCCATATCAGTTCTCATAACTTTTGTTTTTTGGTAGTTTCATAGAATTTTATTTTTATTTTTTTTAAAGAGAGGAGAGAGAGAGAGAGAAAGAGAGAGAGAGAGAGAGTTTTTAAAAATATTTATTTATTTTAGTTCTTGGCGGACACAACATCTTTGTTTTGTATGTGGTGCTGAGGATCGAACCCGGGCCGCACACATGCCAGGYGAGCGCGCTACCGCTTGAGCCACATCCCCAGCCCGTTTCATAAAATTTTAACCTAGATGATGTTATCTACAAATAAGGACAGATTTCTGAGGGACTGTGTTCAAGAAGTCTACACTGATAAACTCCATTCTTAAGTTGTTGGAGAGAAATAAAGGAACAATCCAATATGAGGATGGACAAATCCTCTAAGTTATTCTCAGGGCAGCAGATCCATAAGTCTAGTGGCCTCATGAAGGCTAATGTTAATATGGATTGTTATTCTACTAATATCGGGAGACACTCTCAACACAAATCACTTGATGATCTATGCTCACCATGATTAGGAGCCTAGATGAGTGAAGGCAAAAATATCCAGGTGGGGTTAGAAAAATGTCCACAATTCCTCCTGCAGTATCACCTTCTCTCATTCTGACCTTCACGAAGCCCCCTTCCTGGACTTTGGCTTCTCATTTTGTCCTCTCCCATCCCATCTCCATTGAACCAGGTTGTGTAAAGTGCTAATCATATCATGCTGGGCCTTGCACTTCAGATAGAATCCAAACTCCTCACCCAGTCGAAGGCTTCCTGTGACTTTCCCATCCACGTAGGTCAAGTTCACTCCAAGCTGTTCTCCCTGCCAGAAGCATCCTCTCCATGCACTCCAAACCCCTCTCCTCGMTGCTACTCACTACCTGCTCCCCTTGCCAACTCCTCCTTGTCAATTCTCCTGAAGCCCTTCCTGACCTTCTCAACTCAGAGCACCTGGCCTTTTCCTTCCTTCCACTTACCATGCTTATTACTCGATTTTACACTCAAATAGTGCCACAAGAGCCAGGACCAGCTCTTGTGCTCCCCCCACCCCTCTCTCTCATTTGAAAAGCAATGGGCCTTTATGAATGGTTTGGACGGCTGCTTGACTGCTTCATTTATCTATATCTGTGCACAACTACCTGCCCCCACTCCACCTGCCTTTGTGAGCAATCTTAGGATGATACATCGGGGGTTTCTCTTCCTTAGGAAGGGTAGTTCAAACCATGGCTGCAGGCTAAAACCTCTCCAGGTGATTCCAGAAAGTAGTAATGCTTAGACCCCACCCCAGACCACTGAAACCCAAGTCTCAGCTGTAAAGCCTCAGCATTTGTTTTTAAAACTCCCCTGATTCTGATGTGCATCCAGAATTGAGAACCAGTGATACTTAAGAAAAGAAAGGCTGCTTTCATTCAGCCAGGGATGAAAAGCCTTGGATGGGCTCATGTGAAACGGGAGGCACCGCACTGGGGACTTCCCCACCCCGGCCTCCTGCGCGCATTCATCTTCCTCCTGAGCCAACTCCATTCCGATGCAGCAGGAAGGAAGAAGGGCACCAGACCAGAGTGGAAAGCATTTTCAAACTTTATTTACAACTGTCACAGTGACAAAAAGTAGTTTGGAAAAAAAAAATATGCTAGTTTCTCCCTGAGCCTCAAAAAAGAACAGATAGAAGTTACAGGAGGTTCATCTCACAACAGGCGTTTTACTGAAATACTAGGATTTTTTTTTTTTTCAATACGATCAGTTAGAAATACACACAAATTACTAAAAAAAAAAAAAAGAAAGAAAGAAAGAAAAGAAAAAGAAAAAGGAGGCCAGACAGGAGCTCAGCCACTTGTCCACGAGCAGCTGGGCACCCCCCAGCAGGCTCAACTGCTGAGAGGCCTGACTTTAGGTGTCAGCCCCTGGCCTGCTCAGACCACGCAGGGTCCTACAGAGTGGTCTAGTGACCAGCAAAAGGAACAAACCACCCCCATAAACATACATATACACAAAGTCGATTTGATACGCAGTTTACAAGCACGTTCCCATCACACAGCAAGACCGGGACAGAGGATCCAGGGTGGTGGATGAGAGAGGGAGAGACACYGATACACAGGAATTGAAAAGGCAAAACCCTCATCCACAAAGGGAGGCAAGAGATGAGGAACACCGCGGGGGGACGAGGGTAAGGGGGAACAAGTCTCTGTAGCCCAGACAGAAGGACAGGGGCAACAGGAGAGAGAAGCCCCTCACAGCGCAGACTGCAGGCCTCTCCCGCTTCTGCCAGGAGCTGGAAGAAGTTATTGCCATCGGTATTTGTATCACAGGCGGACGACAGAAGGAAGGGGGAGGGGGCAAGGGGTGGGGGGGACCATGGGCTTCCCAGAACCAAATCCTGCCGACTGCCTGGTCAGCCCCCATGCTCCTGCCCCCATGTGCCTCAGAGCCACACTGCCCTTGAGGTATTAAATACAGCTAGACACACAAGTCCAAAACCGGGGGTCAACCTGGACTGTCCAGAGACCTGAGGGGACATTGTAGATGCCTTGGTTGGTCGARCGCAACCCAAGAAAGGTTCTGGGTCCACCTCTCGGCTGCACAGTTCTGCTCGGATATAGAGATGTGGGAGAGTCTGTCCTGCAACCTGCTGCTGCAGAAAGTTTTGAGCTATGACGAGAAGCTCTAAGTCCACAGGCTGATTTCTTCAGGCAGCCGCTGCCCTTGCCGGAAACAGGTGGGAGGAGGACAGGGATGAAACGCCATCTTCCACAGGGACACAGAGTTCTCCACCCGCACACCTTCCTCCCACCTGCTTCCAGGAACTCCAGGGGAGAAGCAAGGATCTCACGATAACTCTGATCTCAGCCTGGACCCCACTGTTATTCCTGGGGAGCCTTGGTACCCCTGTGGAGTAATCCCAGGCTGTGTCAGTCCCTGGGATCTGCACAGAGCTCCCCCTCCACCAAGGAACACGCTCTCCTTCTCCTCCCACAAGAGAAACAGGCTAAGAACCTACATGGGAGTGGCTGCTAGTGGGCAGGCTGCAATCCACAGCTGGGGAAGGTGCTGGAGGAGAAGGAAGGGCAGGCTGGGAGCCCCCCTGCTCTGCTGCCTCTGTCCCCCTGGCTCCATGGGACTCTGAGAGCAAGTCTTGGGAGGGGGCAGTGGAAGGAAGGGCCTTCTTGCCCAAGCATCAGCCTCGGGGCCTCCAGCAAGGGCAGGAAGTGCTCTTGCCACTCTGCAAAGTGCCGGCAGGCAAAAAGGGTCCTTCTGGGGAGTAAAGCTCAAAAGCGCTGCCTCTCACAAACCTCCAGTCTCCTGGGCTCGGAGAGCAAGCTGCAGCTGGGGGCAGAATCCAGGGAAGGACAGGGTTCCTTTCCTGCACATCCCTCCAGCTGSCCCTGCAAGCAGCCCCTTTCTCTTTCTCCCTGTCCTCTCCTCTCTGTCACTGACCAACACTCCTGAACTAAAGGGGAAGGCTGGCAGTGGGTGAGACAGCAGAGCAGAGTGAGATGAAGACTTGGTTTTTCTGATGCCCCAGCAGCCAGCGCAAATCCGCCAAGCACTTCCTGGGTGCAGATCTCTGCTCAATGCTTTCTTAAAAACCCGTATCTTTCTCTCTTGCCTGGTGTTGGCTTTCTTACACCAAAGGTTCCTGGCCGGCTTGCCCATCCCCCTCACCTTCCTGGACCCCCCACTGCCTCTGGCTSTTGGAGTTCAGATACTGATCTCAGAAGCAGCACCCCTTCCCCACACCCCGCCCCCTGCTCTCTGCAGCTTCATTTCTCAGAAGGCCTTGCAAGTTTTTGTCAGAGGGCTCCACTGCTCAGCGGATTTAAAAAAAAAAAAAAAGAAGAAGACAAGAAAAGAAAAGAAAACCAATTTGGTGATTTGCAGGTGCAAAACGGAAGCCTCGTTTGACATTTTCAGAACGATTGTGGCTCACTCTCTTCTTCCATCCAGATGGGAAAAAACACAGTTCAGGAACAGATGCTGGCTGGCACGATCGACCCAGGGCACCCACTAGGACCCTACTGCTCCTTATTTTCTTTCGCTGTCTCTTCGCAGTTGTCGGGCTCATCCTCCTGAACCAGGAACTCCTCGGGGGGCCACCGGAGCTCCCCGCTCTCCACCTCCCCCTCGGTGGGTTCCACCACTATGGAGGGCAGGCGGTCCTTCAGTTTGCAGCAGCGGTCAAAGTCTGACGGGTCCGGGAAAATCTGAAATCAAAGCAGAGCAGGCACCTGGTCACACACACATCTGAAAAGAGAAATTCAGTTCCTTCCTTTCACACACACGCATGGCAAGCTGAGTGCTGGCCCTCAGCCAGTGACCSTGCTAAGCCTTTGGGACCCTGGGAGGTAAGGCTGGAGCCAGGGGAATAAGTTTTGAGGGAAACTGTCCCTCAGGCAGACTTTTAGTCCTGAAGCTAAAAGTTTGCGGGGGCAGTAAGAGAGAGCTGGAGAGAGGAGTCCTGGTCTGGGGAACTGGGGCTCACCAAATCTCAGACACTCTGCACCTTCAAGGCCATCTCCTCTCATGGCTCCATTTCATAACTGAGGAAACCCAGGCCCAGAGAGGTCAGGAGATTCACTCAAGGTCACACAGCTTGTTCATAGTAAGAAACCAAGTGGAGTGGGAGGGAGAACACATTAGAAGAGATTCTGGCAGGTTTCTCGCTCCTGCAAGCATGGAGACAGGCCCATGGCAGCCTGAGATTCAGTGCTGAATCTCTAACTGGATTCTTTCTTTCCAGATAAAAGAATTAGAAATCATGTCACCACAGCAAGCCAGGTCTTTCTTTGTAGCAAGTATTTTATACCTGCAGAGCAAAGCAGGCAAGTACCCAAACATAAAGCTCCTGCCAGAATCGTTAGGGGCACCCAGTAGAAGCAGACAAACTACTGGGTTCTTTACATGGATAATTTCAAACCAACACAGTTGAAAACAGGTGTTACCCATGCTGTCTTAAAGAATCCCAGGCTTGGGCAAGTAAGTTGACTAAGACCATACAGCCTGGAAATGAATGGTACTCAAACCAGGTGTGCCTGACACCCAAGCCACAGTACTGCCCCGTCCCTCAAGTAGAGGGGTCCTGACCTCATTGCTACTACCAAGCCAAAGCCAAATCCGGATGAAGGCAGGGCCCCCAGTCACAAGCCTGCTGGAAACAAAATCCAAGGCCCCCGCCTTCTGCACCTGTGAACAACCCTTGGCTTCTCGCCAGCCCCACACCTGGGCGAGTCCACTTCTCCTCCCAGAGTCCCATCAGGAAGGCTGCATTTGTTAACACCTACTGTGTGTCCTGCCCAGAACTACAGGAACCCCCAGCCACGCTATAAAATCAAGGGCCAGTCTGGCTCTGTGGATCCCTATGCGAGCACTGCCCTGTGACTGCAGCTGACCCAATTTCTTTGTCCAGCAGCTTAAGTACTTAATCCACCGGGCTGCTGGTCCCTAGCCATTCACAGCCCTTGGTGACACACCTGAGAGCAGGAGAGAGGAGTCCTGGTCTGGGGAACTGGGGCTCACCAAATCTCAGACACTCCACACCTTCAAGGCCATCTCCTCTCACCTCTCCATTTCATAACAGAGGAAACCCAGGCCCAGAGGGGTCAGGAGATTCACTCAAGGTCACACAGCTTGTTCATAGTAAGAGAACAAGTGGAGTGGGGGGGGGGGACACATTAGAAGAGATTCTGGCAGGCTACTCGCTCCTGTTGGATGGAGACAGACCCATGGCAGCCTGAGGTGGAAAGATTCAGGCCCCCCGCAACTCCTGAGCTGCTCCAAGGACCTACAGACTTACTGCACCCCAACTCCAAGCAGTGCTTTCCCAGCCAAGTCACAYTCTGCCCATGTCACAGGCCATGTGGGGCTTCTGGGAATCACAGGCCCCAAGAAGCCTCTCCAATCCCTGCAGACCAGTGATTATTAACCATTTATCCAATAAAGGCCTATTGCTGGGGATTAAGACTTAAGCCAGCTGCACAGCCAGGCATCATTAAAGACTTAACAAGCCTCATAAAAAAGGATCCTAATAGCAGCCAGAAAGAAAACAAGTAGAGGAGGGGCTGGCCTGGGGGGTTGGGGAGGATGGTCAAAGGAGGCCCAGGGAAGCTGACCCCCATTCTGGGCTTTTCCTTCTGCCTGGCCAACCCTAACGCTCCACCCTTGGACTGCACTGTGCACAGAGGAAGGCAGGTACAGAGCAGGGAGTGGATCAGGTGGGCTCTTTGGGCCCTTTGTTCCTTCTCCTGGGGAGTCGAGCCCCTCCTGGGGCTCTGGGCATGAGCCAGGGCACCTCAAATGAGTGGAAGGCACACAAAGTGCTTTCAGAGATCACCTTGCTGAGGACTCATGGCCACCCCTGGGGCAGCAAGACCCTGGGATTCTGAGGGTTGCATGGCAGAGCCAGGATTCCAAACTTGGTCTGCTTGTTTCCTGTGCCTGTGCCTTTTGGAAAATGAACAGAACCACAAAACCTAGATGCCACTAGGTCAACACCCCATTTCCCAGATAGGAAACTGATTGGGAAAGGTGAGCAGGGCTCTGGGTCTCCACTGCTCAGTCAGCTTCTGGATGCCCCAGCCTGGTCTCCAGGATGACTGTCTGGCCAGCCCAAAAGATGAGCTACTCAGTCTGGACACTTGTCCTCATCTCCTAGAACCCGAGGCAGAGCTGTGTGATACCAAGAGGASATGGTTACCCGGCCCCACACAGCCCCTTTGCCCTGTCTCCACCCTCTGGGGCGGGCCTCTTGTGACAAGGCTGGGAGACATGAAAACTCGATTCTAATTATGATCACCCCAGCCAAGGAAGAGCAAAAGGACAAGAGTCAGGGCCAGGCCAGCAGGAGCCAGAGGACTTTGAAGTGTGGAAAGCATGTGATTTCATTACAAGCTGGGAATAGGTTTTTACCTAAAATAAGGGGAGGAAGACTAAAATAACGTTGATGATGATGGATGAGATTTGTGCTAAGCAGAATCTCCATCTTCACAATAATTCTATGAAGTATGAAGTACTACGATCTTTATTTTATAGACGAGGAAACTGAAGAACATAGAGGGCATATGACTTGCACAAGGCTAAGTCCCTAGAAGGTGGCTGTACTGGGACCCAAATGGCTATAGGACTTCAAAGATGTGTTCACTTGAGGACACTGGGTCAAGCCACAGAACGGAGATCCTCACTATGTCTTAACATCCATTGCATTTCAAGTCCTCTCAACCCCTCACCTCAGTTTCTCCTTTTGAGAAGTCAAGTGACCTTCTCGTCTCACTAAGTGAGTACAAGTTTTTGACACGTATAGAGACTATAAAATACTTTGAAGACATCAGCAAAATTCAAATCGTAATACCTTCTTTGGAGTAGTCCCAACAGACTACAGTAAGTGTCCAATCTCCAAGCAAGAGGCAGTAATACTAACACAGTAATTAAAATAACTCCAAACAATGCTTTTCATACCAAGAGCTCCACAATTAAGTCTTGGGGGAAGTCTGAGCATTGAACTTCTGATACTGCTTCATTGCCAAAGACCTTTGCTCCCTGCATTGCTCAAAGCAGCAGCCATTAAAAAAAATTGGGAGTGTGGGGGGGGGGAGACAAAGTTTGCTAATTATATACTTTAAATCACTGTAACAATTACTCTAATCCATCAGATTTTATTTTATTATCAGATTATAACAAATTGTGCCCCTCAAAGTTGTAGCTCTCTCCAAAAATAAACAGAAAGCACTCAGAACCAAACAGTGCTATGGTTTCCTTGCAAACAGACAGAAAGCCGGGCAAAGGGTTGCTGAGTCTTTTTCCAGCACAATCTTATCTCCGACAGCTGCTTAAGAGGCTGACCCCAAGGAGGTCAACATTTTTCCACTAAGTCATGCTTTTTAATCATCTAGGCAGCAGAAAAATGAGAGGTTGCAACTGCAATCTGATGGGGTGGGGAAGGCAGTGGAAAAAAGAACTCCTGAGCTGGACTTGCCAAGCACATGACAGGTAGGGCGAGGCAGCCGGCCAGCCCGGCATGCTGCCTGCCTGCAGGAACTGGCTGGGAATGAAGAGCTGCCCCTGTTCCAAAAAGAAACRGCTTCTGGTTAGACCTCCTAGCTCCAAGTGCCCCCCCACTTTTTTTTCCTGGGATGAAAAAAAAAATCCTTCCTTCCCTCTGAAGCAAAGGCTCATCTCTAAAAGGGTCAGAAGGAAAGATGGAGAGGCTCTAAGAGGCATTTCCCACCTCATCCCTGGGCAGGGCAGGTCTAGAAGCATCGGCCCTGTGATTCTCCCAGCCCTTTACCTCCTCCTCCTGCCTGCACTTCCCTCTCTATTGCATTAGGTTTCCCCAGCCAGTGGCTTACATCTAACTAATGGCACCAAGTTCCCTCCTTTCCAAATAGATAAAGTTTATCAACCACACACACCAGGAGCATCCAGGACCTGCATGCCTGCGTCCCCCATGTGTGGGACAAATAGGCATTCAACTCTGGTGACTGGAAATTTCACAGGGGACCCCACTGCAGAAGCATCCTTTGCCAGCTGGCCTTCAATCCCAATAGGTCCTGAATGTTGAGGACACAAACAGATGCTCTTAAAAGGTCAAGGGAGCTTCGGGACAATTTAGGAGGAAGAGACCACCTATGAGACAGAGTTTGGATGCCAACGTCCTGGCATTTCTGGCTGTTGAGGGCTGCACCGTGACCGGATGTTCTCAGTAACGAGAGCATCCCTATGCTGTCCCATTCAGCAGCCACTGGTCACTGTGACTACAGAGCACTTGAAATGTGGTTAAAATTCATGAATATAAATTTATCTATTACTTAGGTAAATATATAAACACACTTTAATAAAAATTTCCATCGCTACCTGGGACTAGCGGCTACCACATTGGACAGATGATTGGTCATGAGCATTATGAAACCAGGACTGTCCTGGAAGACTGAGAAAGTTTGGTTAGCTGACCAAGATAGGTGGCCCCGGAGCAGAGAACTATAGGGCGGAGGCAAGCTCCTTCTGAAGATGAAGGATTCATCAGCAGGCGCTTTTTGAGTGGGCATGGAAGTCCCTGGTGAGCCAGCTCCCATTTCGTGCACTGAGGGAAACTGAAAGGCAATACCCAGGCTCCAAAGGCCCCAAATTTGGAGACCTAGCTATCAACTGTCTGCCTTTAAGCCAGGTGACCTAAACCTGGCCGCCTCTGGGGTGGGGAGAGGAGAGAGATGTC